CCTTTATATAATAAACCCTTGAATCTTTGCTATTTTGTTTTATTGCCCAATACCCCTACACCAAGTATTAATTGTAATTTATGTTGTTACTGTTTAATATTTTTATAAGGTACCCTGCAGTGCCCTGCAGTGCTTGAAAAAGAGCTGATGATAAAGTAGCTTAGTATTTTTAAAGTATTTGTATATTTAATATTTTTACTTGATAAAACTTAAACAGTTTAGATAGCAGTGGGGCCCCATTTTTTGATATGCACCAGGGCCCTTGGTTACGTAGCTACGCCACTGGCTAGTGGCTACACATGAATGAAATAAACGTATCTTTCATTGTAAAATAAAAATTAATTACAATTTATTGAGTTTTATTGCCAGACTGATCTTTGTGAAAAATCTGAATTTTTAACCATCTGGAACCGGATTCCCAATTTCAGGGCCTACTAACCCTATATGCGACACCACATTCAGGCCGATTCTGGATTGGCCGATGCGTTTCACTAAGACAGTGTTTTATATCGTATTATCATAGACCTAAATGCGCTGTCCGATAACCTGTTTTCTTGCTGTACCTACTAAATAGTTGTTCGTAATGATTTCTTTTCATTATGAATGCCTGTTATGGTAAGTCTATAAATCTATGGAATCCAAACTTGTTCTCTTTTTTATATTTGTTTTTGAAGGCATATCATTGATTTTTGACATAAAAGTTTCATCCCCTTAATAATCTAAATACATACACGAATTTAACGTTTTTTCATGAGTTTACGCTTCACTTTTTTTCTAATTTAAGCTGTTAAAATTATATGTAGACACTGAGTATTGATAGTTTGTAGTTTTCAGAGTTTTCTCTTTTTATACGCTTACTGATCTAGGTTAATGCCAAATTTCAAGTTTCAAAGTAATCTAATAGTTGAAAAAGAAAAGAATTTTGATAAGCAAACAATGTACGCGATATCAACATAGGTAAGACTCTTGATAAGGTGGATGTTCCATCGCTGTCGCACGTAAAATAGGAAAAGAGTTCTTTGAACAATGATATTATGTGCCTACCGCCGCGCCGCTACGATGCCGTAATGATGCTGCTTTGCCGGCACAGTTGTTTTGTTTATTTTTCTCAAAATAGAATATTATGTTTGTATAAAACATTACCTATTAAGTGAGTATAAAAAAACTGGTTTTCATTTCATGGGCAGGGTTAACTAAGGCTCCGGCTCATTATTAAAAACCTGAGCTATGGAAATCCATCATCATCATTAGAGCATCATTACATTCTTACTAGGTCGGTAGGTACTTCATGTAGTAGGGGTTTTCTTTCCACACTCTGTTTGCCGGTCACAACCTTCGGTCACCATAGAACAGTGATTCCAAGCAATGGTCTGCGGACCACCAGTCGTCCGCGAAAGATTTAAATATTTTAGCGTTAATCGTTTTAAATAACACATTTGTTATTTCTAAGTACCTAGTAGCTTTTGCAATTAATACACAAATAATACTGTAAATTAATGCTTATCAGTTTATTACATAATAATGTTAAAAGTGATTATTATTTATTGTTAGATTAAAATAGTCTTTTCTTTCACCTTGTCTTAATTGTTAACAACAAAAAAAAAATAAAGTAGTCCCTGGTCAAAAAAAAGGTTGGGAAACCCTGCTATAGAACTTTTCTTCACCTTAAGTGGCAATGGGTGAGCCGAACTGACACAATTTTAGGTTCGTCCAGTACGGCCCGCCCATTGCCACTTCAGCATGCAAAATATTTTTAGATAAGGTATAAAATATTTCAATTGTAAACAAGCATAAATTTCATTTGTATGATAAGAGGTAGCAGTATTGTTACTGCTACCTCTTTTTTCTTCAGATGAAGGATGTAAAATTATGAAATAACTTTCTTAACGTTTCTTCGTATTACAATAAATAACGAATTCATACAATTCACCCGTAAGGTTACCATCGTTATAATTTAGTCCTTACTGACCATTACCGTAAACTGTTGCCCCCGCAGCAACTGCGGTTCGTGCCTCGTCGATTTGTCTTGCAAATCAGCAAATTGGTGTGAAACTTGGAAAATTGCCCTCGCAACTATTGCTTTCCATCGCAACTCTGTTCGCCTCCAGTGACGATTAGAGAAAACACGAAATTATTTTTTTTATATTGGTGAAAGTGAACCGCTTTCGAAGTGCATATGAATATTTGGAATGCTTATGAACCTAGTCTAGAACTATTGCTAGTAATAAGATCGTACGACAATAGTGAAATATTATTCTTTTCAGAGAAAGCTTTTTTATATTTATAAATATGTGATTTAAAATAAATGTAATTATTTATATTAAATATGTAAAAAATAAAATATAAAAATGCGCATTTAAGGAGCAGAACATTATGGGGCTTTCACCAACTAACACTCATTGGTCCTTACATAATATTAACTACACTGACAGTTCCCGTTTTAAATGAGGTAAATTATTTTTTAGTTATTGCAGTTTTTGAAAATACGAGTAAATAAAAATTTCACAAATTGAATGTGATTTATGGGCACAACGCTTTTGCCTACCGATCGACCTTTACGAATGTGTGCGTGCTCAGTAAAATCAGTTTAAATGTGAGAAAAAACAAAATGTCTGACATTCTTTTTAGAATTAGTATATCGGCAAAATTTGCTATATGAATATTCTAAACCTTCTCTGCAAATTTGACCGGTTATTGCAAAATAACATGTCTTAATGTATATAATTAAAATTTGATTGTAAATCAAAACTGCGTTTAATGTCGTGCGTGTGTACTTGCCAGCAAGTGAAGTGTTGAGCGGCCCCTGACGAACGTACAGAGTGAATGGTTGGTAGGAAGTATATTAATTATATAATATATGTATAGCCGTGGAGTTCTGAGTTATAATAATAATGATGATGAATGTTTATTTACGTTTTTTCGAATGATATGTATAGGTATTATTTTGTTATATGAATGCATTACTAATTTCGCATTTAACAGGTACGCGACTCGGTGATATAAATAGTCATTATCTTGTAATAAAACTTGCTTTTAAGCTATGTTTAATAAGTTTACGATCTGGTATTCGTTAATTTTAATTGATTGTTACTTCCCGTGATAAATGTTAAATCTATCAATGTTTCAATTTATGATTTTTTTTTAAATATAATGGTGACAAACGAATACACAGTCCACCTGATGTTAAATGGATGCTGTGGCTCATAGACATGTATAATTATCTTCGATTAAGAATCAAAACTCAGATGCGTTCTCACTCCTGAGGACTAAGATGGAATGCCTCGTTTCCAGTAAAAAGAGGTCTCCGGATCTCTATACTCACCATACGAAACACAACAGTATTAAACTGCTATTTTACGCTGGTATTCTGTGAGAGCGTGGTCCTTCCCCGGTCGAGCCGACCCATTCGTGCTACAACCATAATATAGCTGCAGCGTGGCTCTACCACGTATAATTTGTGTTGTATATGAAAAAAAATTATATTTAATGATTTATTTTTAGTGTGAAATTGTTCGAACAAGTTCTTAGTAGATACTTTAAAAACTTTAGGATAACGTGTTGATAGTGAAACAAACATTTTTGTTTAAACTCTATGTCTCGTTAAGAATTTTTTTTTTGTAATGTGCTATAATTTATAGGAATTCTGTATCTTACCGTCGAATGCCAATTTACTGATTTGGTTTTTTTTTGTCTTCTTCATCAGCGCGTAAGAGTCCACTGCTGTACGAGAGGCCTCTCCCTTTGTGGAAGGATTTGCCGTAGTCGTCACTCTGCAGTAGCGGTACTAACCTCGCGCATCTTTGTCGCTTCTTCCCGACCAGGTTGGGCATTTTTCGCCTAGTGTTAACGCATGGTGCCGTCTATCGAAAGCCATAAAATATATTCTGCGTTATATTCCATCTCTTAGTTGCCCCTTACGAGCTTACGACCCCCATTGGACAAAATGCGGTGTTGGATTCTCTCATAACCTCAGCACTTTTCGTTTATTGACGTTAAATCTTTCATTCATTTTAAAAATACGAGTATGTCAGAATCAATTTTATACGTGGTAGAGCCACGCCGCAGCTATATTGTGGTTGTAGCACGAATGGGTCGGCTCGACCGGGGAAGGACCACGCTCTCACAGAATACCAGCGTAAAATCGCAGCTTAATACTGCTGTGTTTCGTATGGTGAGTGTAGAGATCCGGAGAGCCTTTTTTAATGGAAACGAGGCATTCCATATTAGTCATCAGGTGTGACAACGCATCTGCGTTTTTGATTCTTAATCGAGGATAGATGTCGATGTCTATGGGCCACAACATCCAATTGCCATTGGACTGTGTGCTCGTTTGTCACCGTTATTCTATAAAAATCCGTAAGATATATACTGCATTATATTCCATCCCATAGTTGCCCACCCATTGGACGAAATACGGTGTTGAATTCTCTCATAACGCTAATATCACAGAACGTTTATTTCGTTTATCGTTATTTATTGACGTTAAATCTTTCATGTCATTTTAAAATACGAGTATGTCAGAATCGGTACTCCAATTTAGCGTTAATTAAAACAACTGTTCGCTTTAATGTGTATCATTGATATTTTATTATAATAATATTGTTTCTTCTTATTTCAGAACCGGCCGCCAAACTACTACGCAGAGAAGGCAAAAGGGAGGACCCGAACCCAAAATGTGACCACCGAACCTTGAACCAAAATACCCAACGCACGCTTGAAATTCATGAGTCTTGCCTCAAGATTACATGATCAAGATCCTTTATTTATTATACATATTATTATTTTAAAATATAAACGATTCTAGTCGCTGTAGTTCTTTTAAACACGAAGCAATTTAGACTTAAACTGTAAACACATGGAAATGATTTTGCAACAACAGACTCTGAAGTACAAAGAATATTGATGAAAAGAAGCAGCAGTACAAACGAACTCGGGAATGCTAATGTTGATTTAGCAGTAAATTGATTAATTTAGAAGTTCCCGAAGTAAAACGAATTAAGATGTCTACGAGTGAGTATGATTATCATATTATATTTTAAGCGTTATCAAAAATTAAAATGATAATTAACTTTTGCCGTGGGAGGCGGCGCAAATCAATAAATCAAATCGTTTCATCTAGTGATTGTAACTAATAGCGGAGGCTAATCTCGTAGGTTTCGTTACATGATGTGATGACCATCTTGTATACGCCAGTTAAAACTGACAAGAGAGAACAGTGTCAAAGTGCTTAGTAAACACCTGACGCATCAATCGCATAACTGGCTAGTCGTTGATTTTGTTTAAAATTGCTAGTTAATCGCACAGTGGTGAATTGCCAATCATCGAGATATAAATTTGAACCTTGAAATTATATTGCATACAGAAAATGGCCGGACCTTACTACTTTACTTTGGGAATACTTTAACTTTTTTTTTTTAATTACTTTGGGAAGTTGTTTACAGAAACTGAAAAATAGCTGTTTGGGTGTGAAGTTGGGTGACATTAAAGTTAATTGTCTGCTGTATGCTGATGATGCAGTGCTTATTGCACCATCAGAAGCAGAACTGCAGACATTAGTCACGTGTATGAAAGAGGAATGTGAAATTAAAGGTCTCCGTTTAAATGCTAATAAAACTAAGGTTCTGATATTTGAAAAGGACGAAGAGAGAACGAAATGTGAAATATGGGTAAATCAGGAATGTCTAGAACAGGTAAATGAAATTGTATACTTAGGGAGTGCTTTCAGCCGGGATGGAAGATGTGATTTAGATGTGGATAGGCGCGTCGCTGCCGGAAACAAAGTCAATGGTGCCCTGAATGCATTAGTCAGAAGGCAAGGCGTGGTGAAGAGTGCACCCCTTGCAATACATAACGCAGTGTTGGTACCGACTTTGTTATATGGCAGCGAAACCTGGGTATGCCAGAAGAAGCATAAAAGCAAGTTGAATGCAGTGGAGATGCGATCTCTTCGACCTGAAAGAAGCGAAAGAGGTATGTAAGGATCGTGACACTTGGCGATCTGTTCTCTCTGGCTACCCTGTTAGGGATTGTGCGTGAAGATAAGTAAGTAAGTAAGTACTTTGGGAATTGAACCGGCGACACGAAGTGCTACTAACTAAACACTCGCCACTTACGTTACCGAGCTGTTTGAAGTATCGCAATAGTCCGAATAATTACTCTGAATTAGCTTTCAATTATTATAGTAATTAATTTTCCCGAACATATTTTACGTTAATTAATAGATTCAGGCGTTACTTTGCGAAAATCATTATATTAAAGTTGGCAAGAATTACTTCGCCTATATCCGCCCAATAAAATAAAATGATGTGTCTTACTTAGTTTAAAGAGCACCTTCCGCCCTCGCGTCACCAGTAATCCCAGCACCACAATTCCCAACTCCACTATATTAAGCGGTCTTAGCGGTCAGCCACCGCAGAGTCTACATCACCTGAGGATGCTTCGTGTAGAGGCGAAACACGTGTCGCATAATTTCGTCGATGGTGTCTTTCCTAGTGTAGTGGTGTTGGAACTAGTCGTGCTGGTATTAGTGGTGACGGCATTAGTGGACGCAATTAAGGCAGAGCGGGAGGTGCTCTTCGAACTAGGGAAGATGCAAATCATTTTATTTTATTGAACGGATATGGGCGAAGTAATTCTTACCAACTTTTATATATTTAACGTTCTTCTAAAAAGCTTACATCTTCTTCCCCCGTTTCTGTGTTGGCAATACAGTATAGTAAGAATGTAATTGCTGTAATCATATCGATTGCAGGGTTATAATGCTTTCAATTCTAAAGATAGCCTGCTGACTATCTAGGAGTTAAGTTATTAATTTTAATAATAGCTTTTACGACTTTGCGTCATGGACTCTTACGATACCACCTCCTCGAATTTGGTTTATAATGTTTTATAATCCGGATTTTATAGTCCGGATTATTGTACTTGGTTATTTACTATTACAGCTGGTTGTGACTCAATGTGTGGCCAATTCCACGAAATATAAAAACATCACTAAACGTCAACCTGTCTCGAAACACTATAAATGTCTATTGATTACTGTCTCATTCTCGGAATACGGGTTATGTGAACAACCGAAATCCTTGCAAGGTGCAAGGAACGTTTATTGCGTTAGAGTTTGTCCTTTCTTGAAAATAAACATCTAATATGTACGTGTAGAAAATACCGCGTGATATATCAAATACAAGCACTCGCTTAAGGCCATCATATTTTAGACACGATTTTGACGCGTGAGAATTGATACTTCTTGAAATAGTATATGCCCGGAAAATAAATGCACACACATGTAATACTCGATTAAGTTTCTAAATAGAATGGATATTAAAATTTTTTTTAGATTCTGTACTTCCTGATAATAAGCAATTTTTTGCAGTGGAAAAGAAAGAAAATTCTCCCCTAAGAGTGTTTCAATGTAATTTTTAAATACATTCTAAATACATTAGGTAATTGGTGTCATTTAACTGGTTTTTAAACCTTTTTAAAAGAACGTGTGTGTGTGTGTGGGGCTGCGTGTGCGCATGTTTGTGTATGTGTGTGTACTATACGGCCGACGTATCTTGGCGAGTCTGAATATAGGCTCTGCGAAGTTTAGCGCATGAACACTCGTGAAGAAAACTGTTATTGTCATTTTTTTATATATACCAATGTACAAATAAAATTTCCCTAATACAGTGACCAAAAATATCAAAACACTTTGGAGACATTATAAATTAAAGATTCAATTTTGATACCTCACCTTTCGATAGGGGCAGATTTTATCACAAACACATACAATATTATTTACATTTAATACTTTTTATTTATTTACACTTATTATTATTTAATCACTGTCGCTGAGGGGGAAATTCCTAACATAAAGTCGTCGGCCCCTTGTGTACCATGTGAGGTACTTGGCATAGGTTCATCTTCGTAATCGTCGCTCTCACTTTCAGACTCACTTTCTGAATCTGAAGCTGTATTAATGATGAATAATTGATCCGTCATTTCGTCAATAATATGGTCGCTCTTCCTATAGTCATGTTCGACCTCTTGCACTTTTCTGCATAAAGCACTCCATTCATTCTGACCCATTAAATTTACTTTTTCTTGTATGAGCTCCATTGTCCGGGTTACGTTCCAGTCGACGTTTTTAGCGGCTACGTGCCCTTTAATGGCAGCCCACACCATCTCGATGGGGTTTAAATCGGGATGATATGGGGGTAAACGAAGGACATCGTGGTTGTTTTGTTTAAACATTTCATCTATTACGTATTTTTTATTCACGTCTTTGTTTTTTTTTATTAGATCGTAAAGTTGTGGTTTACGCATGTCCTTTTCATATGGTATACCCTTTTCTAATAACCACGATTCCATTTTTGCCTTCTTGTCATTAGATGTAGGGGCAGGATCCATTAATTTGTTGTGGTACGGAGCATTATCGATAACCACCACCGAGTTAGGGCTCAAATTTGGAATCAGTTGGGTCCGTAACCATTTCTCATAATTTTTGAAATTCATGTCATCATGATAGTCTCCGGTTTTGCTGCCAGATTTGAACATTAGTAGCGCGTTCGGAACAAACCCTGCTTCTGACCCAGCGTGTACCATCACTATCCGCTGACCTTTTGATATCGGGCGCTTTAGTCCTTGAGCGGAACCATCTGACCACGCCTTACCTTTTGTATGTGATGAGTGGGCATACGACTCGTCAGTGAATACAATTGGTCGCCCTTCGTCCCTGTATTTTTTCATTGCCTTCAAGTACAAGATCCTTTTCAGGCGAATGTCGGTCTTCTCTATAAGAACCATTCTATTGGTTTCGGTCTTTCGCCACTTGAAACCCAAGTTTTTGATAATTGTCTTTAAGCTCGTTTTACCACCTTGAAAATTTATATCCCGTTTGAGTTTCGCTAGTAATTTGTTTATCGTCGGCATTTCTTTTTCAGTTTTGTGGAAGTTGTGTATGCATCTTTTTACTACTCCCTGGTCAAAATTATCCATATCAGTAATAGGTTTTGATCTAGACCTTTTTTTACCAGGCGTGCGGAATACTGAAAGTAAGCCCGAAATATTGCCTTCAGTTGCGATCCGCTGTACTGTGCGTTGGGACACACCAGTTGCGTTAGCAACTCTTAAATAAACTTTATCGACATCTTTTACGCCTTCTTCTTTTTCTTTTTTCATATATTGCGTTAAATCGTAAATAATTTTTCTCGCCTGGCGATTTAACACACTGTTATGTTTTGGTGGCATGTTTGGCGAATAATATAAGTGCTAACTGACACTTGCAAATAAAACAAATAAAACAAACAAAACAAACTTAACACTATTAATAAAAACAAACAACAATAACAACGAAAACTTTTGTAACCGACTGTGCTCAAGACAGAGATAGCGACACGAACACGACACCAATGCTAACGTGTGACTGAGAAATATTACCGTGTACCGAGCATTGCCGAATAAGCACGAAGCTTTACGAAGTAACCAGAAAGGGATGTCCAACACGCGTGCCTGAGGGTGTTGTTTAATCGATTTTTATTCAAATCGATTAAAATTAAGACATAAAAATATATTTATTTGCAATTTATAAGGAGGTTCTAAATTTTCTCAAATAGTCGTTACTCAAGAAGACGTTAATAGATAATTGATATTTAAGTACATTATGTCTTTCAGCTGAGAAAATAATATGTTTTTAGTTTTTTTTTTTATTTAAGTCGAAATCTTGTTTATTATCAACAAAATTCACTACATTTGTAAATCTATTTCGTTTAATATCTTATATAAACAAAAATCAATAACTTCTAAATAAAACTAATCGATTGCGATATTTTATGACTAAAGGGTCGATTGTGTTTACTTATGGTCAATCTCTAGCCTAGACCACCGCCCCCCGTACGTCGCCTCATGCCACCATTTTGTTCCTTAAAAAAGCTATTGCGCAACCTTCTGCGCGAAGGTCGGACTCGCCAAGATACGTCGGCCGTATTGTATGTGTGTGTGCGCGTGCGCGTGCGCGTGAGCGTGCGTGTGCGCGTGCGTGTGCGTGCACGTTTATAGTTTATACGTTTGTAATTCGTATGTCCGTTCTTTAGTAATATATACAACTAACTTCCTAATGAGCTGGAGACATTCGTACGACAATGCAGGAATATGATAAAAATTAAAAACATGGTACATTTCATCAAATCACTTGTTTATAAAATTATGCTATTCTTCGTCCCCAAACCGATATTTATTGATTTTTAATTACTAAATGAATATCTGAGTTTTTTTTTGTTCATTGATGCCGATATTGTTGTTTTTCTACCGAATCTTTATATCGTTGTACAAATCTATATTAGAATACTGTTGGTGTATGAATAGCGAATACCATCATCTTATCACATCCACATAGCTGCATGGTGTCTGATTTAGACAGGAAACAGCGCCTGATCAGCCAGAAGAGTATAAGGCATACTAAGTTTAATGAGTAAGTAAATTCATTAAACTTAGAAAAGGCCTCTGTCCGGCAATGGATTCGATTAGACTAATAAATTATAATGCTTTAATTTCGTTTTGTTTACGCACCAGGAGGCTTGCATTTAATTATTTAAAGAATATCCCTATTTACCTCTTTAGGTTTTCGAGTTGGTGCTTGGTCAGCGCAGGCAATACCTCGCTGTCGTTGCTTGTCACTAGTCATTGAGGTTATAATTCGGTGTTTATTCAAAGTGATTCATTAACCATATGTTTTTAGTATTATGTTAGATTTTTTTGAAGCTTACATTGTAATAATGAAGGTAGTATAAAAATGTTTTGTTTAATAATACAGGTTTCGAGAACTCTGCTATGAAGAGCAGTTTCTCGTTGTCATCGCTAAGAAGCGCGCAGGCACCGCCAGGCGGTCGCTGTGAACAACTCGAGCGGCCCTACCATAGTCTTACTAAGAAGAGGTTGGTTATTCGAAATTTAAAGCTATATATATATCTGTCTGTGGAAGTCTGTAGTCTGAAAACAATAGTCCCCGCTGTAAAATTGATATATAATTATGATAATATAGCAACTTATCAGCCAAGCATGGTGAATGTTGCCAAATCGTATAAGAAATGGATGGATGTTACCGTTACAGCCTAACTTAAAGTACACTGCTGAACATAGAACTCCTCCATATATTGCTTCATAGGCGGATTATTTGCTATAGTTGCCTCGCTTGACAAGGGAGTTTGCAACCGTTTAATTTATAGAAAGACGCCGCTCCCCATCTCCTGATTTGTTTTCCTCCGCCTCTTACTACATCCATTATAGGGCAGTGGAGTGGATTCCTTACACCGCTACTATACAGTATGTATAGATGTAATGATATATTTTAATGCTGTGGTGTAACGTAGGACTGGAAAGGTAGTGGTGGCAAGGGACAGGACAGTTGTTTGGAAACTCTGAAAGTCAAAGGTTCAGAATGGGTGAGGTAGCCGTGAAGTGCCTCTTGTACGGCGATGATCAAGTCATATTTTCATCGTCGGCGAGCGAGCTGTAAATGATAGTCACATTTATGAACATTTCATTAAAAGAAAGGGGAACGAAAGTGAATGCAAGTAAGACAAAAGTGATGGTTTTAGAAAGAGAAAAAAGTAAAACGATATGTGGTATGAGAATAGAAGGGAGTCCGCTGAACAAGTGAATGAGTTTTTGTATTTAGGATGTAGATATGATACAGCAGCAGCAGGAATAGTATATATGACGAAGATTGAATGCAAGAAACAGAGTTTTTCTTTCAGAGGGCCTTTGCACTCTATTCATATTTTTAATTGAAAATTTGGAAAACCCCCGAAACAAAAAGAGCTGATGATATTTAAACGGCTGAAACTGGCTGAAAAAAAAACATGATCAAAATCAGTTCATCCGTACAGGAGCTATGATGCCACACACACATTACAAACTTATAACACTCCTCTTGTTTTCCCGGTTAAAGAGAGGCACGTGTGACAATTCACAATGCTGTGTCAATCCCTACCTTAATGTTTGGTAGTGAAAGTTAGGTGTGACAGAAACATGAAAGTGAAATTATGCTATAGAAAATCAATCATTTAGGAATATGTTAAGGGTGACTCTCAATTATAGGGTAAGAAATTATGTGATCAGTGATTTGTAAATAATTTGTGACCAGGATTATGAAATGAATGCTTCAGTGGTTTCGATACGTAGAAAGGATGGTTGAGGGAAGATTAACAAAAAAAAATCAAGCTGTTGAAGTGATCGACAATGTCGGTATGGGTCGCCCTAAACGGACGTTTATTGGTCAAATTGGCGATCTATTGAATATGGCTTAAATTTAGAATACCTTTAACCGATTATTATGTGTGCATGGATATCGTGCCAAACAGAAGTCCGCAGTTTCTGCCTAGCCCTCTGGGTAAAGGCGTGAGAGCTTATGCCTTTTTCCGACGTATAATAATTTCTAAATTAGCGTTTAAAATTACACGTATACACCATCATTCAATACGTTCATTGCAGCCTATCAAATATCCGCTGCTAATTAATGGCCACCCTCATATAAGTATAAATAAATTTGTTAAGATTAAAAAAAGTTTGGATTTAAACTGTTGAGTTGTATTTACTTTAATAATAATAATGTCCTCCAGACTGAATTTCGGCCACGGCGGCCTGCCTCAACGGAGGCTAGCCATCGGCGCAGGACAGAATTATAGTGACCAAGTGTATGCGCAAGCACAGGTGCACTCTCTATTCCCACACTCTCATATTCCGATGGGACGGTAAACCAACACGACCGGAGAGAGATCAGCCGCAGCACCAACTTCTTTACGTGCTTTCCGAGGCACGGGGGTGAGACACCGCCAACTTCCTGACTCCGGGCAGCTACTGGGAATTTCTTGACAGAAAAACTCAATAATTAATTTTTTGGCCCGACCCGGGATTCAAACCCAGGACCTCATGATCAGCAGTCGCACTACTACAACCACTAGACCAACGAGGCAGTCTATATGTATTTACTTCATTGCCTTACCTGACCTGTCAGCCTGGTATTGACTATGCGTATTTCATCACTATATCACAGGGATAATGCTCCATGAATTGTTAACGCTTAATCCTCGTGGTTGCTCAGTACCTTACCTTAACTTGTACTTTATAAATATCGTGTAGCAAAGTTTTTAATTTTTTTTAATTAAAATGTTAAGGTGCATAGTGCAGCTAGTACATTTTAGATATTAACAAGTTTTACCCAACTGCCTTAGAAAGAGGGTAATGTGTTTCAAGCATATGTATGTATTTTAATATATGGGGTGTCGTTAGATTCCCTTAATTGTAGAACTGATATGGGGCATAAGTTTTATCTCCTTTCAGTAAACTTCTTTACTCAGACGAGTTTTGTAATTACGGTTTTAACCATTGGCCTTCTAAATATATGTATACTGTCAAATAGTATTTTTATGATTTTTACGAATAAATATTGAATTCCTTGAATTTCAGGAAAGAGCCGTGTCGAGAAGCGTGGCGTAGAAGTTGGGGTTCGGCGGCGAGTGGCGGTAGCGCCGGCGACGACCTGTGGCCCTTGCTTCAGCACCATTATGACTACATTATGGACAACCAGATCATCGATTCTTGTAGAGTGAGTCCATTATGTAATTTGCTCTAGACCGAATTTCGGACACGGCGGTCAGCCTCAACTAAGACTAACCACATCTGCGCAATAGGATTATACTGTCCGGGTATATGTACAAGTGCCCTTTCTGCTCCCTCACTCTCATAGTCCGATGGGATGGTAATACTAATGCGACACAATCGGAGAGAGATCAGGCGCTGGACCAACGGCTCTACGGCTAACTTGCTGACTCTGGGCTGCTACTGAGTATTTCTTGATAGAAAAACTCAAAAATGGTTTTTAATAACAATAATAATAATTTATTTGATACAGACAACAAAGATCGCGCTCTCGCTCGGGACCAAAGTTGCAGAAATTCCGGAGACTCGAAATTTTTCTAAATTAAATTTGAATAGAGCGTGTGGTTTAAAAAATCACCAATAAAATATTAATTATAGAATAAATTTAATATTCCTAACATAAATTAGGGGCACAATTCTCAATCACTTAAAGACTAATATGGTTTGTTCAGTAAAACATAATTTCTTACCGCACGACGAAGCACTGCTGCGTCTTTTTGTGTAGTAAATAAAGTTTTATTTTGTGTTACTATCTTAAATAATGCGCGCCGCGTCTCGTCGCGTCTCGCCTCGGTGTGAATTGCCCATATTTCTACAATAATATCCATATAACAAAACAATAACAAATAGTTGATTGAATCGATAAAGTATAATGGTTAATAGAAACTTTACTGTCCATTAAGATTGTAGTTTTGAAAAGCATTTAGGAGTACTCGTAAACTGCTTGTAAGCCTTTAATAGCTTGAGCCGTTGAACCCCTAAGTAGTAGGCGTCCTGTATTTTTTATTGGCAATTTATTACTTACTATCTACCTGGCCTGACTTCGCCTGAGTGGGTGGTATCTATTTACGTTTTGTTATTTAGAATTTATTTAATTTTTTTTTATAGAATGAGAGTGACAAACGAGCACACAGTCCACCTGATGGTAAGTGGATGCTGTGGCACATAGACATCCACATTCATCCTCGATTAATAATCAAAACGCAGATGCGTTGTCTCTCCTGACGACTAAGATGGAATGCCTCATTTCCAGTAAAAAAGGGTCTCCGGATCTCTACACACACCATACGAAACACAGTAGTTTTAAGCTGCTATTTTACGCTGGTATTCTGTGAGTGCGTGGGCCTTCCCCGGTCGAGCAGACCTATTCGTGCTACAACCATAATATAGCTACAGCGTGTCTCTACCATGTATAGATAAAAGATAAATTATGAATATTTCGATTTTTTTAGGAATATCTCCACGTTTTGCGGTTAAAATATTGCCTGTACTGTATTGTATCTGTTCGGGAAGTTTCATAAGGATACGTTCAGCCACATCCGAAGATTAACCCTCACATACAGACAGACAGACGAAAATTCTAAAAATAATATATATATATATATATATATATATATATATATATATATTATATTATATATATATATATGAGAGAGAGAGAGAGAGAGAGAGAGAGAGAGAGAGATAAAGATCACTGAATGTACGGAACTGTAAATAATTGTTTTACTTCCAGGAGGCAAACGGCGAGCTATTATCGCACAACTGGATTTCGTCGCAGGGCGGGCCTAGACTGCTAAATCCCACATCCGGCGCAAATCGCCAGTGGTCGTTAAGCCAGCTTATCGGCGAGTTCTCCGAGTTGTGCCAATGGCTCACACACGTTCAGGAGGAAATATACTCTAGTCCCGAAAACCTGTCCAGTAGAAAGCTGAGGAAGGTAAATAATATAAAACTGACTACAATTTGTGTTACTTATTGGTTTTAGATAAGCCGTGTAGTGGCGACGTGTGAATATCCCGAAATATATGAGCAGCAGCATCTTCCTGATCACAACTCAAAACTAGGAATCTGTGGCTGCTAACCCGCCTAACAGCGAGGGAAATATGTATGAGGGAATCTATGGGAAATTCCTAAATTATGTGATGGATGAAATGGATACTGTAAACTGTTCAATGTAAAACTAGTCTTAAAGCACTTCCCTAAGATGTCTGCATGCATGATGGAATAGGATGAGACATGCTTAATCAGATGGAGTTACCGTCATTTGGAGGCAGTGCAGCACCGCGCTTTCCGCCGAGCTTGCCACTAGAGGGTCTTTATTTATTTCCTATTGGTTACATTTTTTTGTAAGTTGATATAATTTCCAAAAGTATCTATTACTTTGGTTTTATTTATTAAATTGGCTGTATGTATGAGACTCTTAATGTTACTTTCTATTAACGATTTGATGATTCTAATGATTTGACTAGTTATTGTTTCATTTACAGAGCCGTATGTCAGAGTTAATAACGGTGGAGCCGCGGCGCACCAAGTTCATCGAGCAGGCTTCGGCAATACTTGATCGTATTCCAGAAGCAGGTGGTGAGGTAAGTACTAACCATAATTTTATTTTTTATTAGTTTATTTAATTGTTTATTTGGTAGTATTTAGATCAATTTTTCATTTAGATTTTTTCATTCTTTCATCTATGTAAGAGTAGAATAATAATCCACTAATGGACTGTTTTGTTGTTAATTTTTCGAATTAAAAACCTTCATTAATTTCACTCTTCTCTACTGCGATGTTAGTGTTGTAGAAATGTATAGATTTAAAATATTACTGTGGTCGTTTTTTATGTAATTTTAAAAAGTTTTTTATGATTTGTCAAAACTAATTTTTCTTTAGAAATTGTATGGAAATATCAGTAAATGATGACATAGTTTCTTGAATATTAGAAACACATAAATTTGCTTATCAACATGTTTTTAAAACATAAACAATTTAATTTGATTTTAAAAGGTCTTGTGCTTTTTACTTAATTGTATAATTAATTATATAATTGTATAATTATAATATATCTTCCTCTTCTTCATTTTTTGTTAACAACTGTTTCTAGGTAGTAAAAAGTTAGTCTGGAAGAAATACCTTACAGAGTGATGTGACCGGCGACATATTGTAACTTTTTTTTAATATGAACTCGCATTCGCTAGATTATCTATTTGCAGAACCAGTCTGTGAGAAGACAATATTGCATCTCATTGCCATATAAATGGTCAGTTTAGCCAATACTACAACCAAAGGATATACATATATACACAAACAAAAATGGTCCATCGAGCCAGCATTGAGTATGTTATAATGATGAAGTGTCACATAGTGGCGGGGTATCCCCTATTATCCGTGGGTGTCGGGCGAAATAGGAGATTAAGTCAATATAATAATAAATAAACTGCTGTCACCACCACCAACAGTTAAAAAAAAACTTGTCACCCTCACACTAGGATTTTCTCCTATATCGTGAAGGCAGTTTACAAACATAAATTGCACAAGGACAAAAATCCAGACCCGGAACAATTATTTGTAGGCCATACAAATACTTGTTCTGTGCGGGATTCGAACCCGCGTCCCCCAGCGCAGCAACTCCGGAGCTGTCAAATTATGACTAATAACTCCTCTGCGAAGCAATCTATGCGTAGAATATTTATTTAGCAGTAGAGTTTTAATGCTTATTGAGATAATTTTTTTTTTTTTTATATAAATTTTTTTTTTTTTTTTATGGAAAAAAAAAAAACTGGGTTTCTTTTGTGGGGGTCTCTTTTTTTTTTTTTTTTTTGTAGTTGAGTAATTTTTTCATAACCCTCGATCACTTATTGGCTCCAAATGAACTTCTGATATTTCCAATGTTTTAGTTGTAGTAATTTCCGATAGATGGCGGTGTAACTAAATTTGTTTACGTCCAAGGTAAAATACACAGACCGGCGACAGTCATAAGCATCAAAGGTGCGATACCTCTAATACTACGATCGTTAATCCGCCTGTTTTGATCGCGAAGATATTAGACTTCCTACAACGTTAGAGGACTGGATGGATTTTTCCAGGCCCATAAAGAGGAAGTAGAAGAAAAATCATTTGTTAATTAATGCCTATGGCGGGAGCGTCTAATGCGAGAAAGAGCTCGTAGCCTGTACAACTAATCGATAGCGGTATAACATCAAACATAAATTAAGGCTCAATCGGGCAGCAGTCCAAAGTATGAGACATCTGATAATGCTATCAACCCATCTACCAATTGTGGCGATTATACTAGTATCAAATCTCATATGTATTGGGAGAGGCCCTATTGCAATTATTGCCCAAGGAAATTATAACATTATATATACATATTAGTTTCTTTATTAAATATAAAAAAAATATATTGTTTACGGTCCTAGATTTTTAACGTTATACTACGAACAAAATATTTATAGTATATTTGTGAAAAACAAGCACACAGTCTAAGTGGATGATGTGGCCCATAGATAACTACGTCTATCCTCGATCTAGAATCAAAATTTAGATGCAACCTCTTAGGAATAAGATGGAATGCCTGTTTACAAGCAATGAAACACAGCAACATTATTATGTAGTTTCTCTCGGATATTCTGGAGAGCACACCGGTCGAGTCGTCATATACGTGCTGCAACCATTATACTTATCAAAACAGTTAATATATCATTCAAATGTATAAACATCAAACCACATAGAATTTGTATTTTAAGGATTTTTGTCTTTATCCCAGGTGACATGGCGAATGGAGCACCTGAATATGAAATGGGAGAGTCTCCGCTTGTTACTGAGCCCTGAACAGCAGCAAAAGGACGGAGACTGTTCTGATACTGTCGGTAAGTTTCATGCGTTTTGTTTAATAAACTTTAGCTTACGGCTTTATCTTCATGGCTCTTTCCACAGTATTCATTTTTTAACGATTAGCGTGACAATTAAAAATCTACCAACCCCATATTTATCCAAACTGACATATGTCACTCGCTATGCGGCCCCTATAACAAACGGATGAGGCAGAAAAGAAGTCGCATAACCTGCTATATCAGAAACTCTCAATAAAAAATATTGTACTTTTTAACTATTTAATTTTATAATAGTACCCCTATACTGTTGTCTTCAGGTTATAAAGCTATTATTAACTCGTAAGTAAAGCCGAGTTGCCAAAGCTAAGTTACTTCACTCATAAAGGAGTCACTTAGCATTTAATAAAGGGCATCTTCTTGATACCAAAAAAGTGGTGTTATATTAATGATAAGAATAGCGAATTTGTAGTATACAAAATTGTGTTTTTTTTATAAATATTTTATTACTTCTCCAGAAATAAAGTCCTCCCGCAACTGTTTTCCCTCTCAAAATCTTTGTTATAAACAACGTGCATTAGTAAAAACCGGGTTTTATTGTCACTTAACCGGTTACTACACCTAAAAACCGTTTTTCCAAAAATAACTACTGTTTCTTAAGAGGGAGACGGTCTGCGCGGGAATTGAAAAACAGGTATTTGAAGAAACTATTGCCGTCCCTCACCGCTGGTCTCCAGCCGAAGAGTGCGATAGGGACAATTGCTGCTCAAAACGATTTTACCTACAAAAACCATGACCGATCGTCGTTTCGTATTCCCCTGTTTTCTCCTCGAAAACTAAGCCAATTAAATTATTTTTGGTATCAAAATTTAAAGGAAGAATAGATCTATGTTTCTATCATTTGCTTTTATCTTAAAAACTTTTCGAATTTCTTTGGTAGTCGTCTGATTACAGAGGTAAAATCGGAGCATTTTTTAGGTTTATGGAAAATCATATTTATTTTTATAATAATTTTTTGAAAAAAAAAGTAAATGACAGGGGCATGCCTTCAATAGATAGAATTCAATAGATTTGTATGGAAAAAATGCAGCCCGTCTACCCTCTTAATAATCAAAGGCCTTACTGAATTATTCTTTGACCAATCATTGTCCCTACCACAGAATACTTTGTTGATACGGGTCTTAGCAAACTTAAGAATAACTATAGATTTGCAACGTGGTCTGTTTTAGTTTTACGCGCAAAAAGTCGCGGGTAAAAGAGAGAGATTTGAAGCGTTCGTTTGTAATATCGAAATATTAAGCTCAGGCGGTTATTTCTATCCTATTAAGACAAGAATAATCATTTTAAAATGTTTGTTTGTCTTTTTATCCGCGACGGAACAGAAGGTTGTTTGTTTGTTTGTTTTACTGTTCGTGCTTATCTTTGCAATGGCTGAACTGATTGCGATAAAACTTGGCGAGCGGATTGAGAACATTGCCAGGAGTGATCTAGACTATATTTTATAAATACCTCTATATCTTTACATCTTCCAATACCATTACGGCCTAATAAAGTCTGAACATAGGCCTCATATATTGCCTTATAACCATAGTTTACTTGCCATAGTTGCCACGCTTGACAAGCGTGTTGGCAATCGCAGTTCTTTTTATATTTAGCCGATGTTAGGGAGACGCTGCTACATCTATACATACATATAAATAAAATTGAAGCGTTTGTCTGCAATAGTCGAAAAAATGCGTTTAATTGAACGCAGTGTGTTGTGAGTGTGTAAACCGCAGGCGGGGCTAGCGCGTTGTAGGCGATTGAATGTTAAAGTTTTTTTTAACGCTGTTTACGTACATAGTTTTATGTAAATACTTGTTGAAATAGTTTTTATTTAGTGTTTAGTATATTTAATTGTAGGATAAAATAGTTGGAATAGCTTTAATGTAATTTAAAAATTATATATATATATATATATTTTTATTATGTATATTCCCTATTTGATAAATTAAAATGGCAAAACGTCGTTCCTACTATAACTGTTGCGTGGATGGATACTAAATGACCAACAAAAGGTCATATAATATCATTCTTTAAGTTACCGAAGGATTTTAGAAGGATGAAAGGTGAATTTATTTAATTTTTTTTGTTAGATAGGTACTTACAGCAAAAAAGAATTAATTAATAATTTGATCTACAGAAGAAATACCTAAGTACTTTATTACAAAAATTAGTTAAAATTTACTTCACTATCCAAGTATCTACTTACATACCTATACTTGTCTTTTGTAATTAAAATATTTTAAGTTATAATAACACAAAATACTGAAATTAAAACTTTGTATACTAACAAGATTTTTAACTAAGTAGAATAGATCACATTTCTGTTAGGAATCGTAATCGTAAATCGTAACCTTCAGGTTTATTTGTTGTTTACACTATCTACCTATTTCTTCCGAACCAAGCATCGCGATTCCCGACGAATGACCTTGCAATTTGCATGCGTTAGGCATCGCAGAACTCACGTGGGGGCGAAAATATGGTCAGTCGATCATACTCAGAATAGGTAATTCACCTAAGTAAAGTAATTTAATTAACATTTCGCGTATGTATTTTTTTACTTTCTACTGACATCCCTTAATAACTACGAAAAATCCGCCGTGACTTAGGAAGCGGAAAAGATGCAAAGTAATATGGACATAAAGTTTTATTTAGCTTGCGTCCCCGATTTATAGTAGTATGCTATTAAACGTCGGCAAGCAGTCGACATCAAAGGAGTGCAACTTCTGTACGTAGTATTATTTATTCTGTGGTATGGGCTAATCTTCAGAATGGCTTAACTGATTGTGATGAAACTTCACAAACAGATAGAAGCTTAGAACAAAACTTATTACAACTTTACGATAAAGATGACTCTTTATCTTCAATATTTTGAAGTTTGATGCAAAATAGATTTTTTAATTTTTTTTTACTTCAACACCATTTTATAAGAAAACTATGGGTAATAAGTTAATAAGTAGGAATGGGCCGAATGTGGATTTCACCGAATACGAATATTCGGCCGAACGTTCGGTAAAATTTTTACCGAACCGAATATTCGGCCGAACATTATTCTGCAGGATTACCTCGGTACCTAACCAATTTATGTCGAACTTGTTACCGTAAAGCGAGCGGGAATAGCGCCAAAGCCTTCCCCTCGCTCCCCTGCCCCACCTGACATGTTATTGCATCATCTCATCATCATCATCATCATTACAGCCCTTCACAAGTCCACTGCTGAACATAGGCCTCCCCCAAGTAACGCCACAAAGCACGGTCCTGAGCCACCTGCATCCATCGACTTCCTGCATGTCTTACCAGGTCGTCACTCCATCTAGTGGGGGGTCGCCCTACACTACGCCTTCCGGTACGAGGCTGCCACTCGAGAACCTTTCTTCCCCATCGGTTATCGGTTCTTCGAGCTATATGGCCGGCCCATTGCCACTTCAGCTTACTAATCCGTTCGGCTATGTCGGTCACTATGGTTCTACTGCGGATATCCTCATTTCTAAGTCTATCACGCAGAGAATCTCCAAGCATAGCCCTCTCCATAGCTCGCTGAGCGACTTTGAGCGTCCTCATACGGCCAGCGGTGAAGGACCACGTCTCTGATCCGTAAGTCATCACTGGCAACACGCACTGGTTGTACACTTTAGTTTTCAGAGATTGAGGTATACCTGACGTGAAGATGTGTCGTAATTTCTCGAACGCTGCCCAGCCGAGTTGAATCCGTCGATTGACCTCTCGGTCGAAGTTGGACTTACCTAGTCGGACTATTTGTCCCAGGTAAACGTACTCGTCAACAACTTCGAGCATAGTGCTCCCAACAACTACCGGCATAGGTGTGACATGGACATTAAACATGATCTTTGTTTTGTCCATGTTCATCTCAAGACCTATCCGTTGGGAGACACCATTGAGGTCATTGAGCATAGTGCTAAGGTCCTCCAGCGATTCTGCCATAAGGACTATATCGTCGGCAAATCGAAGGTGTAGTGATGTACTCGCCATTGATGTTAATACCGTATCCTTTCCAGTCCAATAGCTTGAAAACGTCTTCCAACGCAGCGGTGAAGAGTTTCGGGGATATAATGTAACCCTGTCTTACACCTCTCTGCAGTTGGATACGCTTCGAACTCGGGTTCTGTACTTGTATAGCCATCGTAGCCCTACTGTACAAACACTTCAGCACTTCGATATACCGACAGTCAACTTGGCACCGCTTAAGGGACTGTAGCACCGCCCAAATTTCGACGGAATCAAAGGCTTTCTCATAGTCCACATACGCCAGGCAAAGTGGCAGATTGTACTTCTCGGTCTTCTGTACAATCTGCCGCAGTGTATGTATGTGGTCTATTGTACTGAAGCCTTTTCGGAAACCGGCTTGTTCGGGAGGCTGGAAGTCGTCGAGTCTGCGTGCGAGACGATTCGTAATGACTCTCGAAAATAGCACGTAGATGCGGCTCGGAAGGGAAATCGGTCTGTAGTTCTTCAAGAGAGCGTTGTCGCCTTTCTTAAAGAACAAGACCACCGCACTTCTGCTCCACGCCTCCGGAGTAGTGCCACCATGAAGGACGGAATTGAAGAGCTTCTGAAGGACTTCAAGTACCGGTGTTCCACCCGCTTTCAGAAGCTCCGCTGTAATTCCATCCTCGCCTGGGGCCTCGCCGTTTTTAAGGTGCTGGAGAGCCATTCTAATCTCGCTCAGACTGACGTCCGGGATATCATCGGAATAGTGTCGGGTAAGACTTGCTCTTGGATCGTTACTCACACTTGCGTGTGGCTCCAACGATGATGTGTACAGCTGCCCATAGAACCTCTCAATCTCACTCAAAATCTCAGGTAAAAGTCTCAGGTGGAAAGAGGATTCCATCTTAGTCTCATGGGTGACAACACATCTGCATTTTGATTTAATGAGGATAGATGTAGATGTCTATGGGACAGCAAAGGGAGTTTCACACCTATCCTAAAAAATAGTACTGATCATATTGCCGGCACATGCTTATGTTTTGAGTTTTATTTTTTTTTAAGTTCTACGCGGACGAAGTCACGGGTACAAAGTAGTAGATTAATACAAGTTTAAAGCTTTTTTGAAAGTTAATGATATCCCACCAAAACATAAATTCGAAAAGGGGCCAAATCTGACGCAATAGACGTTGTTTTAGTTGATTAAAGCATAGGTTCTATAGGAAAGTACCTACTTCTTTGAACTGCTATGGAACTTAGCGCCCGTTCAGATCTGAACTCCTATCCAGTGAAGTCGGACGACCCCAAACGTCTTCCAAGGCGAATTTTTTATGGAGTGTATCTTCCCCCTTCACTTCTTTTTCACATATATTTTTGCTAGGATCTTATATTTTAAGCAACTGCTATGGACATTGCCCCCTTTTCATATTTTATGTTTTCATGGTATATTTTCTTCTACATACTCTATAACCCTCTCGGGCATAAAACTAAAGCATTGCTGTTGCTCGTAAATTTTTTTTTCATATTATTACCTTAGTATTTACTTACAATCAGTTTAGTTAATGTTTAATTTCTTTGCAGACCCCGCCCACGAGCTGCGTTGCCTGCGTCGCTGGTTACATGTGATGGAGGGTCGGCTGCCTCCGCCGTCACTCGGGGTCACACGCTCGGCGCCGTACCACGAGTTGATCAGGAAACTAAGAGAACATCAGGTAGGTGCTCTCTCGGCAGAATACTAATTGTTAAGAGCTTATGATTAGATGATTAATGAACATTGCGGGCTGTCTCTACATAAACCGTATAATTTAATAATACTTGTGGTACTTGTTTTTTGTAGCACTTGTGATGTGTACTTTGTTATTATTCGATCTACGGAAAAGGTTATACGCCATGTAAAATGATTTTTCATTTCTTGTTTTATTCCTAAGCAATTAAGTTTATAACGTTTATGTTTATAGTTTTATTATTATTTTGGGATATTTAAATAGTTTCCTCATCTGCTTGAGCTGTATAAATATAAAAATGGAAATAATAAATATACTCATATTAATGTCGTGAAATAAATACATAAACAATAAGTGAATAAATAAAAAGCCAACCAGAAGCCCTCGGCAGAGTTACCAAATGGCCGAGGGTTAGGGGGAAAGGAAAATAAACTAGTGGAGGAATTATTATTAATTACATTTTTACTTATTATTTACATATATTATTTACATTTTTACTTATTACAATGTTGATCACTCCAGTAACGGTAAAATTTCTTCGACAAAGATTTAGTGGACTGTATTGGTAAATACAATAAACAGAGCATGGATAGTAGATGAGACTGCACGTACTAACCTTGTGAGAGCAGCCTTGCATTGTTCCTTGAGTAGCAGTTAGCACAACGGGACCGCCACGTAATTCACTGTACGCATTTTTAGATCAGTTCTAGGGTATATCACACCCTTTTCAACTCGTAACTGGTTTTAGTTGCCGTAGGGCACAACCACATTCGCGAAATATTAGGTCCTTACCTATGAAGTTGACTTTTTTAATGAAATAAGTTCTAAACTTTTTCTATATTTTTTATTTTTATCAATTAAAGTAATCACCCATGCAATCGACGTATCTTTGACAACACAGTGGCAGTTTATTGATGCCCTTCTTGAAGAAATCAGCTGAACGGGAGGCAAAAAATTCTTCAAAGGCATTTGGTACCGCCTCTCGGGTATTGAATTTTTTTTTCACGCCAAAAGTTATCCAAATTCTGAAAAAAGTAGAGGTTTGTATGCGCAAAGTCCTGGTGAGTACGGCGGATGACGGGGAGCTTCCAACCCAAGCTCTTGTAACTTGCAGACCGTCTGTTGTGCAGTATGAGGTCGCACGTTGTCGTGCGTAGTAGAAGAAGACGTAGAAGTAGCGGAGACGAGCGATTGACCAAAGCTGGTTGAAGACGTGCGAGCTTCTCCATCATTGTCTTCAGTTCTTTACAGTACAACACATCTGCAGTAATGCTCTTCCCGTTTGTTAAGAAGTTGTGATGAATCACACCAACACTAGACCACCAAATATTGAACATAATTTTTCTAGGAGTAAGTCTTCGTTTACGGTATTATTTAGGTGCTAAACCAGAATCTAAACATCTTGCTGAGCGCTTGCGATTGTCAAACAGAATCCATTTTTCGTCGCAGGCAACAATGCGGTTGAAAATTCCTTCGCTTGTGTGCATGTTGAGAAGTGCATGGCACATCTCGACGCGTACTTCGTGCTGGTGATCATTGATTTCGTGGGGAACCTATTTGTCTAGCTTTTTTGCCTTGTTAATTTTAAGCAAATGGACCAATATTGTTTTGATGCTAACGTCGAAAGCTGCTACAAATTCAGCCGTAGATCAAGTAAGTCATAGTCGACACTGAAGGAAGAGGACCAATAACAGGTGGTGCATTCGTTTGTAGTATCCGCACATTTAACTTCGTTGATGTTGCGTCAGGTTGTGCATGGTTGTTGCCACGACGGTACTCATATTCCATAACTACTCGATTTTTAACGTATCCGTGCGATTTAAATTCGAGGAAAACATAACGCTAATCAGTAAACAAATGACTAATTCTGAAAAAAGAATTTTAAAATAATTTTTTTTTGCTTTGACTTTTCCCAGACTACTTTCGAGATAAGACAATGTCGGTGTTTATAGAGCTAACTTCGAGTTCGAGTGCGTGCTTTGCAAAGCCTGAGTCAACGAAATCGACGACTTACGTAAAAGTTGGTCAAAACCACCGTATTAATTTTACATTGTTGATTTTATGTTAATATAATTATTTATAGCATAAATATGTAGTTTTAGGCCGTCTTCTAAAAAAAAACCTTCTTTAAATAACATTAATCCATTTTCTATTTACGTAATTTCAAACTTATTTCGAATTTCTTCAAATCTTCTAATTACTTTTAGATTTTGTACTCTTCTCGTACATTCCAATCCACAATCGTCGAATCCGGTAAAACTTGTAACAAAAAATAGCCATTTAGCCAAAAAATTATATTGTTATTAAATTTCTGAAGTAGATATAACTCTCTATATTTTCTCCATTATATCACACGGGTATATAGTAGTATCGGAGGTCCATTATCCAAAGCCAGTCGTAAAAAAAACATCAGGCATTAAAGGTATAAATAAAAACTTAAAATGCACACAATATCAATAAACCAAAAGCTTCACGTTTGAAACAGAGATTTGACAGGGCGCGACGGGCTGAGCAAACGTTCTGTTCCTTTCTTAAGTTGTAAACTAATATTAGTTAAATGTACTATTATCTCTTTCTTAACAGTCCCGTTTTGTATTTCGTGTAAAAATAAGTGATTTATGAAATACAACTGTTTTAGATTTTTAAATGTTTTAAATTTTATACAGTAAAATCAAGAACATAATGCGTGGAACATAATGGTGGTTTTTTGACTGTCTGATCCCTAGCTAAATAATTAATGAATGATACATTCCATATTTATTCTAGTTTATTCCATAATGCTTTGCTTAATCTTAGGCCGTTACAACTATAAATTCAGAATCTATTTATTTATTTATTGGATGTACACAACAGTTTATATTCACTTTTACGTAACATAAATACCTATTATATACAAAGTTTTGAATTGTCTAAAAAACCTAAAACGCGTACATACAGTTGAACATCCATTATCCGTAAACATATTTATGTATATATTTTTCTCAAAAAAAAAAAAAAACAATTTGACACATTCGTCTTAAAGGATTGTAAAATGAAATATTGTTTAATGATTTCGACGCTCCGGGAAGTCTGCACTCTGTGAACATGTACAGGATCGCCCCCATCACTACATCAGATTTGATAGACCACAAATCCTCGCTAAAGAACACCGATTCCTTCCAAGGATGATTCGCGAGGCTATTGAAATCAAAAAACATCCTAATTTCAATAGAGAAGATGGCTGGGTGCTACCATCTGCTTGGGATCCTATAATAAATAAAATTAAATCCCAACCCAAGCATACAACTGCAAGACTCCATGATACCATAAGTTCATACTGTGTAGATCGGAACAAAAGTTAAATTTTAATCTATGGTAACCGCGGTTAACTATGACAGCTGGACGTTGAACATCTCAGTCCTTCCCGTGACCATGGGTGCTGTAAAGCTCTCGAAACGTCGGGTAATTAAAAAGTTAAATATACGCGATAAATTCCGTAAAAACTAGTATTATTTAAATGAAATATTGTTCTTATAGACGTTTAATATAAACTTAAGGCGACGCCTGGAATTCGACTTAATATTAACATTGATTTGGGATAAACGGTTTAGGGAAACAATTTTGCAGTATATTAGTTTATGTAAGCAAAGAATATCTTGTATAGCACGTGTATTACGCAGTGACGTGACTCCAAATGTAAGTAGTCTCTCCTGATAGGACGGTAGCTTGCGACTTATTTTCAGCATATGACTATCTTAAGAGCTTTGTTTTGCATCTGTTCTAGACGCTTGGAGTGCGCTTCGTAAAATGGAGACCATACAACAGGACCATACTCAAGAGTACTTTTTATCAAAGCATAGAAGAGATGTATAAATGTGGATGGTTTTTTGAAATGTTTGGTTGTTCCGGTAATGAAACCTAATGTTTTGTATGACTTAGAAATAATGTGATAATAATGATTTCTAAAAGTAAGTTTTTCATCAAAGTAAACACCTAAGTCTTTTGCAACTGAATTTCGTTTAAGATTTCGACCTTCAAGTATATAATCGTGATTTATTTTCTTACGTTTGTTGGTAAAAGAAATAACGAAGCATTTATTTATATGTAAGTACATACAGTTTTGTTTGCACCAGTCAGCAATTGTGTTAGCTTCATTTTGCAAATCTACACAATCATTAAGGTCATTAATTTTCTTGAACACTGAGGTCATCTGCGTATAATAGACAAGGACAAGTTAGTTTTGGGATTAGGTCGTTTATAAAAATAAGAAAAAATAGCCCAGATGATATCCTTCTGAGACACCTCATTTAACTGTGATGGCAGTCGATTTATACCCCTTAGACTAGTAAGACTGTATCCATCGGAATAAATTACAATGGATGCCGTACCACTCGAGAAAGCAATGCATGATTCACTTTGTCAAAAGCTTTACGAAAATCGGTATATATTGTGTGAACTTGACCACTTGACTTGAAAGACAGGCCTTATATTGCAACAGATTTGATATTGTAGACTTTCCCTTGACAAAACCATGTTGTTGCTAAAAGAGAGCTGGTTGTACATGATAATAAATTCGATCATAAATTAGAGATTCAAACACTTTCGCGATACAAGAAAGAATACTGATCGGTCTATAGTTTTTGCATAATGAATAATCACCTGATTTGTGTATTGGAACAACATGTGCAAGTTTCCACGCTGATGGAAATGACTGGAAATGACACTGCTCTTAAAGACTTGTTAAAGAGAATTGTCAAGGATAGACCTAGTTCAGTAGCACATTTTTTGAGGAATGTAGGTGATATTTGGTCTGGTCCTGCCCCTGTATTAAGATTAAGAAGAATCAAAGAATCTCAGCAACATTTTCCGTAAGTAAAGCTGAGCGAAGTCAAAGTAGTGTCTATAGATCGTACCCTCGTGCTCTGTGATAGTTAAAATGTAAACAGGAAATCGAGATATACCATGAAATTCATAACAATGTCCATTCTGTAAACTTGGTTTTTGATCGATTTTTACTATTACCGCAACGCTCTCGT